GGTGCTGGGGATTGAACCGCGGTCCCTGGGCTTTGCTAAGCTTGTTCTAAGTAGGTGCCCCAGACCACTGAGCCATCTCACCAGCCCCTCACAGTAATTTCAGAAGACATTTATACTGCCGATTTTTTTTTTTTTGTAACCAGGAATTGAACTCAGGACCTTGTGCTTATTAGGCAGGCGCTATGCCACTGAGCTATGTCCCCAGTCCTGTACTGCAGAATTGATATTCACACTTCTCAATTTTTTTTTTTTTTTCAATGCTGGGAATTGACCCAGGGCCTCAGCGTTCTAGTGATGAGCTACAGCCCCAGCCCTTTTGCTTTCTTTCTTTTTTTTTTTTTTGTGGTACCGGGGATTGAATTCAGGACCTTGCGCTTGCCACGCAAGTGCTTATTCTACCAAGCTATCTCCCTGGCCTTTTTTTTTCTTCCTGAGACAGGGCCTTGCTGTATATGTAGCCCAAGGGGCTTCAAACTCATGGCAATCCCACCTCAGCCTCCCAAGTACTGGAATTACAGGTGTACACCACCACCCCTGGCCCCCTGCTCCTTTTCAAGAATATTTTTTTTTTTTTTAAATTTTGAGACAGGGTCTTGCTCAGTAGCCCACACAGGCCTTCACCTTGCAATCCTCCTGCCTCAGCCTCCCAGTTAACTGGGCTCACAGGTGTGCACCCCCTGTTTTTCCTTTATCCACTTGCCCATTTCCCTTTTTACCTTTCCTGTGGTCTGACCATACAAGCCGAACATCTCTCGTAACCTCTCTTCACTGATGGCTTCGGGTCTGTCGATCTTATTCCCAAGAATCAGGATAGGCACATTAGCAATGGTCTCATCTGTCATTAGTGACTAAAAACCAAAACAAAGAGGACAAACTGATTTGAAGCCATCCAAAGAGCTCATTTTGACAAGACACCAAAACAGACAAGGGCGTGTTCTCTAATGCCATGCCACGCAGCCTTTCTTTGACAAACTTTCTCCATATCTTAAAACGAGCACAGTGAGGCCCTAAGCCAGCTCTTATCTTCCTAAGGCGCCCCTGGAAATGCTCGCTCTGCCCCTGTCAGTGCGCGAGGAGAGGCCAGAGCCAACTCCTTGGCAGCGGGCAGACCTGGCTTCAGCCGTGCTTCTGGGGCTCCTGAGCTGCGCTCCAGTTAGCAGGGAGAAACTCAGAGTGAGGAGGAGCCACAGCTCCTGTCTCAGGAGGCAACCTGAGGATGAATGCGGCACACTGCCTGAAGCAGGGCCCAGGACAAGGCAGGAACTAGGAACCCCTGACCTTGTGCCACGACCACAGGAGTTCCCCAAGAGGACAAGTGTCTGCTTGCCGGCGCTGGGCGAAGCTACGGTCAGGTCAACCATCAGTCACTCATGAACCGGCCCCCCTAGGTCCTGGTCTATCCTGCCCTGCTGTTTCCTCCCCTATAGGGAGCATCCGACCTGAGAGAGGGCAGTGTGGGTGGCACTTCCGCCTCGGAAGTGGTGACAAAGCTGGCATGCTACATTATCTCCAGATTCTGGCCCAGTCCTGAAGAAATGGTATCTTAGGTTTTTGCCAGGGATTGAACTAAGGCGCTTGAGCATGCAACGCCAGTGCTTACTCTACTGAGCTATCTTCCTGGCCCAGAAATGGCATCTTAGGATGACCAGGACTCAAGCGCAGGCCCTCTGGGAACAATTCAGACATGAAAATATAGGAGAAGGGACCCTGCAGAGAGTGAGCTCCTCCAGGCTCCAGGAGAATGTCTGTGTCAGAGCTTCCTAACAGAGCTGCAAGTCGCCAAGTTAGTCCCTTGTACTCCACAGAGAGCCACCACTGCTGAAGCTACAACACAAGAGGTTCCAGAGAGCGGCACTGCCAGCTCCACCTCCAGCCTTTGTCCTCAGGCTTCGCAGGCTACTCTACTATGCTTAGTGTTAATTGTTTTAACTTACATCCAGTTCTTCTTTTGATTCTAATAGCCTTTCATGGTCTGCACAATCCACCAGAAATACAATGCCATTGATAGCAGGAAGGTAGTTTTTCCAAACTCTTCGGGCTGACAAAAACAATCAGGAATTAGAATTTATTTGCTAGTCAAGCCTAGCACATCGTGTGACGGAGGAGTGGTGGAACATGCCTGTAACCTTGGCACTCGGAAGGCTGAGGCAGGATCATGAGCTCACTGGTAGCTTGGGCTACAAAGGGACATTAAGACCTTCCTGAACTACGGAGCATGACTAAAAAAAAAAAGAAGAGCAGCTATCCTATCCTTCAACTAGCTGTTGTGACTTCGATATATATTCAAGGTGATCTTTTACCCAGTAGTCCCAAAATCTTTCCAGAATGCCAAAGAAGAACTTTCAGATTCTCCATATTATGGATAAGTGAAATACCTTATCCTTCCCCAATTTTCCCATGTGAGGAGGATTAAGCCAGGGCAGATGGCGCATGCCTGCAATCCCAGTTAGCTTGAGCTATGCAAGGACACTCTGCCTCAAAAAATGAAACAAAAAACTTCTACCAGGCACATGTAATCTCAACACTCTGGAGGACTGAAAGTTCATGGCCAGCCTGGGCAATTTAGTGAGACTCTGTCTCAAAATAAAAAATAAAAGGGCTGAGGATGTAGCTTAGGACAAAGGCTCCAAGTTCAATCCCCAGTATTTTTTATATTTGGTACCAGGAATTGAACTCAAGACCACACACTTGCCAGGCAGGTGCTTGTGCCACTGAACCTGGCAATCAATCCCCAGTATTGAAAAAAAAAATCTACCCCTGGACAAGGAGACATGTTATTAATTCACTACAAGTCTGCTGCTATATAAATCTAAAATACAAGCAGTAAAAAAAAATGTACATATCCATGTATGTGTGCAGTGTTCACATTTTTGACATTTCCAGTGATAAGTCTGAGCCAGTGACACGGACAGCAGGACTGGGTAAGGTTCTCCACAGGGACCAGCTTCCTGGGCGAGGCGCAGAGAAGCACTGGGCTTCATAGGGCAGCAAGGTGGGGAGCACTGGTTTGGTTTGGTTGGAGTGAAGAGAACAGGAAGGGGAGTATGGGGGGTGGAGACAAGGAGAGTAACCAGGGCACAAGGCAGTCTGGCTTTCATACTGTGAGGAATACAGTTAGCCACCCAAGGCTTTCTCATAGCTGTATGATTATGGTGCTAGGTGGTTTGAGGCAGAGAGAAGGGAAGCTAATTTTTACCATAAATAACTCACACTTAAATTGACCAATACTATCATGAAAACCACCTTTGCTTGAAAGCATTTATAAAGGAGCAATAACCCCTAACTTGAGGTCCACTTTGGCCTCACTGAAATGGAATGACATTTCATGCAGTAGAACATCACAGCCATATTTTTACTAAAACATGAGATTATAAATAACATAAAATGTTACCTTGCACATGTCCACCCAGATCAAATGTTGTAAAAGTCATACCGGCAATAGTCAGTTCTTCTGAAGCTAAATAAAAATACAAAATATTTTTACAACATAAAAATAAAAAATCCATTCAGAGCATATATTATTATGCTTTTATTTTTATTTTTGGTTTATTATTTTTATTTCTTATTTTTTGAGAACCGGGGATTGAACTCAGGCCCTTGTGCTTGCCAGGGAAGCGCTCATTCCACTGAGCCATCTCCCCGGCCCCTTAATTTTTATTTTTATAGACAGGGTCTTGCTATGTGGGTCAGACTGGCCTTGAACACTTATCTACCTGCCTCAGCCTCCGAGTGCTGGGTTACAGGTGAACACCACCACATCTGGCAGAACACAGATAAAAATTTATTTATTTTAAATTATGGCAAAACAACAAACAGAGAGGGTGGTAGAAAGCACAGCTAGAGCAGGGAACAAGGTCTGGAGCCGAGCAATTTCAGAGATGACTTTTGAGGTTTGCACAGTCCTGCGGATAACCCGCTACGACTACTGGACTATATTAGATTATTTTGCTGAATTCATGCACCTACAATATTTAAATGGCCCATCTCTGACAAAACTAAATGAAAAAGGGGGATATAAATGAAGGACCATTTTGTATCTGTGTATACAAAATAGTTAGGATAGGTATATAGCTACTTTCTCTTAATTCAATGAGAAGTAAGATTTGTACTAATAGTGTTTGGACAAGATATCATGTCTGCATCTTATCCTATGATTAACTACTACAAAGACAACAATATGCAATGTATTAATTATTGTAACTAGATGTCTCATTTGGTTCTCTTTGATATCTTTATTTCTTTCCTTATTAAGCGTATATCTTCTTTTAAATCCTCGGGCATATATTACAGCTGTCTCTTTGGGGCGGCTGCTGCGGATTGAACGAGGGCCTTTGTACTGAGCTGCGATCCAGTCCCTTTGCTAATTTTTTATTGTGAGACTAGGTCTTGCTAAGTTGCTCTGGTTGGCTCAGACTTGTCACTGCACCTCAGCTCCCCAGTCTGCTGGGGTCCCAAGATGTGGCCCCACACCAGGCTAGGTCTTCTTCTGACTTTCCTCCTATGTATGAGTCACATTTTCCTACTTGTTTGTATGCCCAGTAATTTGGATTCTGTTGTATTTCTTTGACCTTTTCTTTGGCAAACAGTTGCCTGTAGGTCAGTTTTGAGGTTTTGTTAGGGTACATTTCGAGAAGCCTTTACTTTGGGGCTTTGGTCTCATTATTAAAGTACAGTCCTTCTGGGTTCTCTAGTGACTGGCCTGTGTATCCAATCAGGGCTTTCCAGTCTGAGCGGTGGGAACATAATTCCAGCCCCGCGTGGGTTCCAGTAACAGTTTGTCGACTGGCCTCTGGGTGTGCCCTGTGCATCACCGACTGGGAGTCAGCCCTGCAGAGTTCTGACGCCATTCTCAAGCTCCCGCCTCATCAATACTCTGCCCAACAAATGTCCACCCGCAGTCTCCTCAACACCAAGTTTACTGGGCTACGGCCCCTCCTTGCACCCTAACATACAGCTATTACACCAAGAGTCTTTTCCTGTGGGAATTAAAGTCCCATGGTAGTTATTGCTCAGCACTAGAGAACGCTGAGGTACCAGTTTTTTGGGTTTTTTTTTTTAAAAAAATGTATCAGTTATTTAATTAGGCTCTTAGTAAGAAATTTAGAACACTAATTTAGGAGGATAAATTCCATTTGTCAGAGCAAAAACGGATCACAGATAGCCCCAGAGCTGAGGAACAGCTTTGATTTTTGCTAAAATCTGTGAGTCCACCACTTTCTGATCCACCTTGCACTGCTCTGAAATCTGGTATCTCTCTTTCTCGGTGTCGAAGATCTCGCCCTCCTGGTGTCTGGGCTTCCGCAGCTGCTTCTTCTTAAAGTAAGCATCAGTGAGGTGTTTGGGGATTTTCACTTTGCTGATACCAATTTTTGTAGAGGTGGCAATGACAGATTTCTGGTGTGTTCTTCATAGAGGGACACGATTAAGGCTAAGTGAGCAGAAGAAATGCTCAGAGAGCATCAGTTTTGTGCTATTGTATTCCTAGTCTCTAGAACAAAGTCTGACATAGGAGCTGGGAATTTGTTGAATAAAGAGAGCAACACCAAGAAGTAAAAAAACAAAACCTTACACCCAATATAAGACTACTCCACAGTCTCTTCCAATCTTGCTATATTTACAATTTTGTACACACCTAATTTCACCAGAATAATTTTGTCTTTAACAGTACTGGGTTTTTTTGGGTGGAACTGGGGATTGAACTCAGACCCTTGTGCTTGCCAGGGAAGCGCTTATTCCACTGAGCCATCTCCCTGGCCCAACAGTACTGTTCTTGTATCAGAATCCTATGTCTCAACCTCCACTTTTTTTTTTCTAATATCAAAAAAGACATCAGTTTTGTAAAATTTTTTATCAACCTAATAGTTTATTATAGAGAAATAAATACTTGGCTTTATTTTTCTGTTCTCTTCCTCAGTTTTTTTTTGTACTGGGGATTGAACCTAGGACCTTCTGCTTGCCAGGCAGTCCCTATTTCTTCCTTGGTCTTTGAACATTGCTGGATGTGGTGGTGCACACTTGTAATCCCAGCATTCAGGAGACTGAGGCAGGAGGATCTCTGCGAATTTAAGGCCAACCTGGGCTACACAGAGTTCAAGGCCAAGCATGAACAATACAGCAAGGTCTGCCACCCCCCCCAAAAAAAAGAAAAGTCTTCGAATGTTTATTGAACTCAATATAGGATTATCTATGTTTTGGTCTAGTTTTCGATCCTCTTTTCTCTTTAATGGGGAGGACAGCACTGGGGACTAAGTTCAGGCCTTATGTTTGTGGTTCTCCTGTCTCCGTCTCTTGGAGGGCTGACATTCCAGGCACACACAGTGGCATTCATTGCTACAGGTGCAGTGAGCTGAGGAGGTAAGTCAGTGTTCCGAGGGCTTCCCTGGTGTGCACAAGGTCCTGGGTTCAATCCCCCAAATGGCAATTGATCCATATTTTACAATTAATCTTGGATCAATTCAGTTTTACATTCTACATGTACCTGATCTTTAATCTCTTCACCAACAAAAGCTCACAGGTTTAATAAATTAGACTTTTGTTTCTACTAACTTTGTCACTTTAACAATAACTTCATTTTCTGCAACAGTATACCATTACACAACCTGATATACAGGATGATATATATTAAGTAATTAACAAAATTATTACTGTTTTCTCAGGTATTCTTTCTAAAAGAATGCATAGCAAATTACTTTAAAGATGTGCTATAAGTGTACAATACATACTCTGTTTTTGGGATGCATTCTATGTTGTTTATTATCTATTACTGTTTGGAGTACTAGAGATTGAACCCAGGACCTCCACACCAGAGTTACTTCTCCAGTACCGCCCCCCCTTTTTTTGTCATCTGGAGACAGGGTTTCACTAAATTGAGGGTCTCACTGTATAGCTGAGGCTGACCTTGAACTCACTGTGTCGCTGTTATGGTTTATGTCTAG